AACAGCTGTTAGGTAGAAACACTTGCCTGGGTAGAACAAAGGTGAGCTAAGGGAGTTTTCTGCAGCGTTTTGAGGGTGGAAGGAGGGATGTTGCCTCTCAGTGACCAGGAGAAAGGAGCTGGTGCCTGAACAGGCATACCCAATCCACAGGTCAAGATATCTAGTTCAATAATACTTGCCAAGGCTTCCAAGGTAAAAGCAAATATGTACAGATATGAGTAAAGTGTACAGACTCTTCAAAGAAATATATTTTTTGAGTTTTATGTGTCTGGGTGAAAAAATAAATGTAGGGTTGTGTTTGGGGTTGGTTGAGGATTTTCGCAAGCTGGACATACGGGCAGCTAGATGGAAGTTGTCACTCAAGGGATTACCTGGAGGCTGCAGTTCTCTCTGGGATTATGCAAGGTGTGTCCATGCAAAGTGGTAAAGGCTCCTACCTTTAACTCCTGGAAGCAGACACCAACATTAGAGCAAACGGACTTAGAAAAATTGAATGGTTGTGGTGCAGGAAAATGCTTTCTGTGAGTCTGAGACTGTCCTGTGAAAATGAGAAAAGTGTAAAGAGAATAGTCAAGATAACACTGCCTGCAGCCTGCAACATTCTGCATCTGACTGAGATTCCCACAGTATTCAAGCAAACTTCCGATTAATGTAAAACCTACCTGAGTTTTTGAGATTCCCTGGTGAACTCATGTTTACTTGAATTTATTTTTCCCTCTTGGATCAGGCAAATCCTAAAAACTGAAGCTGCTTTCAAGTCTGCTGTTTCCACATGGCTCAGGAAGGAGGAGAAAGAGAAACGGAGATCTCTCCTTAAAAATTATTCAAGAATTGCATTTAAACTGTTCTCTCTTAGTGCTGTTTTGAGGAAACAGATGTTTGTGAGATTTTAATGCAGGGAGTTTTAATTTAATGCAGGGAGTTTTAATTTATTTTGCAGAGCAATGTAATTTATTTGCCTTTTATACTTTAGATGTACTGGAATTGCAATCCATCTATATGGTTGTGCAAAATTGTCATGTGAAAGTAGAAGAATGCAACACAAATTACAGTCTCCTTAAGCTGCATCACCCAAGTCTTGGTTTTCAATCATATGACCATGCAAGTAAATAAGTCAGACCCCTTTCTCAAAACCAACAAACCCCCAGGCCCACCAAAACTGTGGTGTACCTAAAAGAAAGGGTATGAGCAGAAAAAAACCCTCATCATATCGCAAGATTAGCTAGTAATTAAAAAGCCAACCAATTTGAGTTGAAGTGGATTAATTACATAAAACACCAGGAAATCTAATTTACTCAGTAATTTATTTTTAATCCAAGTCAAGAAGATCTTATCATAGCTTCTTGTAGGGACCCAGTCAGATTTAATTATACTCCTGTGTAATGACCCACATCTCTTAAGTTTTGTGTGTATTATACTTTATTTTATTTATAAATAGATGTACACTTAAGATCTAAAGAAAGTATCAAGACCATTTAGATTGGCAGTTTTGATACATTAATACTAAAACTGCAGAAGGAGACAGTTCAAGGGCTTATCACTGAAATACAGCTGGTAACCTCAAGTAGTGAATTTTCTTAATTCTCTCTCATATATCAAAAATGTATGTTTCTGTTCATGGCATTAGAACATGGCATTTTACCACTGGGTTCTTAATTCTTGATGGAAGGTGGATAGGCACCAAGTGCATCTTCCCTGTATAGTTAAATACGTTTTGAAAGCTGATTGTACTCCTAGGTACTTTCCTAAACAGACACATTAGAAAACGCACGAAATGAAGATTGCATAGACTGAAACAGGGTGCTGGTGAAGATTGTGCAGATAAACACATTGGTGCAGGATTAGACGAAGCTGTGCAATAACAAGGAGCTTTGTAATATAGGTGCACAGGCACAGTTATTGAGTGTTCACATATAATTTAAACATCTAACTGCAGTGTGTAACAGCCTAATCTAGTATTGATTCAGCTTTACCTGACTTTTTATAAAGTATGTGAAGGCTAATCATCTTCAGGCCTGTTGCATGTAATACCTCACATAATTGCATCCTGAATGGTACGGTAGGCCCAAGAGCAGCCTCAGCTGGAAAGAGAGCATTACTTGTCCAGTGTTGCAGTAGATTGAGATGCATCTATTGTAACCTTTTTCACTATCTAGCAGTTAATCTTGAGTACAAGTGGCATGTACTCCTGTCACACTTTGTTACTTTTCAGCAGGTATTTGTTGGGGTTTTTTCTGAGGTCTCCTGCAGTGGTCAATTCACTGTCCTATGTAAATTCCGAACTTGCTAACTTATCCTTTAAAATCTTCATCAATTTTAGATGTCATCCAAAGTGTATTAGACTCTGTAACCTGCAAACAGCAGGATGGAGCTCTCGGTAGCTGTGTAAAAAGCTCAAAGCCATGCTTGGGTGTTTTATGGAAGGGATGGGGGGGGGGGGGGGGGGGGCGAGGGCAGGGGGGAAGGCATTAAAATTGGAGTTTTAATTTTTGATTCGTAAATTGGTGCAGTAAATCTTATGGATTTTTTTTCCCTAAAGGTCTGAGGCAGTGATACTACTTTAGAGAAAGGTAAATTAACTACAAAGTGAAAGTAATTGCCCTTCTTGGGACACTTATCTTGGATGTGCTTATTTGTAGGCAGGTTTAAATGCATTATGCCTAAATAACTACTTGACCACTGCATTTGTCTTTCACAATGCAATCTAATTGTATACTGAGACTTTAGTATAATGAGTTATTTCACATCTCTGTTAAACTGATTAGTGATTAGTGATGTGACTGAGACATGACTAGCCCAAATGACAAAGTAATAATCGATAAGAGTAAAGGATGGCTGACAAGCAAATGAAGTCTGCAAAGTCAGCACCACTGATGAGAGCTACTGCTTACTTAAATACACCTTAGAGGATCAGTGTAAGCTTTATCTTTGTTTCAAAGTACTGTCTATAAAGGGCTAGTAATTTCTATGTAACTCTGGTAGTAATCTACGTTTATGCTGCTGTTTGCCAATTGTATTTACAGAATCTTTCACTCCGTAATTCATAACAATCTCCTTTGACCTCTGGTTGTATGATGTGGAAGTTCAGTAAATGCAGCTGTATCTGAAGACCCAGGCATTTTCTCTGTCCTTCACCTGCTGGATCTGTGGCATGTGGGCAGGTTATGCTTCCTAGATTACAGATGTATTTTATGTGGAGAAGCTGTAGGCAAACAGTACTGTTGTTGAATTTGTATAACTTTTAATAAGGATGTGTAAAAGTTCAAAGCTCTTGGGAAATACCAGTTCTATAAGTAGAAGAATTTAATTAAAGTCCATCTACATGGCTTTGTAGAAAGTAACCCATGGAAAGTCTAGAGCTTTCTCCTGAGATTACAAGTTTGGATATAATTGCATTAATTTAACTCCCTTAAACTCTTTAAAGACACTTAACTTAGAAGTCCTCATTGGTTTCACTGTTAAGAATGTGGATTAGGAATGGACAAACTGATATGTGTCGTGTTCAGCTTCTGTGGGGCATGTTCTTAGACCTGATGATAAATGTTTTATTCGGTGATCACAAAGTAACATAAAATCTTCCTAGTATTGTTTGGATATGACATGTGAGTTAAGGGATTGCTCAATAAAGGAGGATTTTGTCACATCCACTGTGGCCTGAGTCTGTAGACAAACTGTGATAGGTGTTGAGTGAAATGCCTACTCTGGAGATACAAAATCCAGTAGGGCCTCTTGGGTGGGCAATATGCGGGACAGTCCAGAGAAGTATGCTACCCCAGAGTAACCGGAACAAATAGGACTCTGGGCAATAATGATCAGGCCTATGAGGAAAATGTCTTGCTGTTGCACATAGTCCTAGAGACTTCTAAAATGGATGTTGCAAAATTAGAGGGTGACCTGCTGGTCACACTCCTTTTGGTGTAGCCCAAAATGCAAACAGTTGGCTTTCTGGGCTACAAGCACACACTGGCAAGTCATGCTGAGCTTCCCTATCAGCACCCTGAAGTCCTTTTCTGCAGGGCTGCTCTCAACTCAAGTCTCCGCCCAGCCTGTATTTGTGCTTGGGATTGCCCTGATCCACGTGCATGATCATGCCTTGTTGAACTTCATTTTCAATATGAAGTCATGCGAACAAACTTCATGTTCAATGTGAGTCAAGCAGATTTTCATTACAGAAAAAGGAAACCACATTTGTATCAATGAATGAGGCACCACAGAAGAAAAAGCCTAGGGCATTAATATGTAGTTAACTTATATTGCTGAAACAAGACTAAATAGCTTTTCTGGAAGAGATGTTATAACAAAACACAAGTTCTGCTTAGAGTAACAGAAATGGCTTGGCTGTTCCTTTCTGGATGGAATGGGGGCTGTATTCAGACAGCTAAGTGATGACAACATGACCTCAATGTCAGCAGTGCTTGCTGAATGAATAAAACCCTGTCTTTAATGTTTTCTTAATATTTTTGTCTTTATCTGAAGTAGTAAACAGCAATCAGTTGTTGATCTAATAAAAATATTTAGCCAGGGTCAGGCAGTTCTACTGGTATGGTATGTCTGCAGTACCTCCTAGTGTGCTGGGTTATACTTGTCCAATTTAAACCAGACTTTTCCTCTTTCAGTAGGCTAGCTCCTCTACAACATTAGGAGATTAATTTCCATGCCCTCTTAGCCTCTGACCAGGTGTTACCTTGCTCCTCTTGATTGAAATCCCGCCTAGGTTGACCTTAATGCTTTTCCCCTTCTCTGTGGAATTAGCTGCTGTCTCTACATTTGAAGTTCTGTAACTTTTCTGGTCAATATTTCCATTCCAGTCTGCAGACTTTTAATTGCATTTTTGATCCCTTAGCCTTGCCTGCTGAGTGCCTAGGCTCTGTAACTCAGATTTTTTCTGGTTTGCCCTTTTGCTCTTTCAACTCATCAGTTTGCACCAGTTCACTGGCCTCTGTGGTTGGCTTCAGTGGGTATTTGTAGCAGAGTTCTCTGTTGTAACATCCAGACATACTTCTCCCTCCTACCAGCAATGAAGTGTTTTGGCTGGAAGGTATTTCATAACACATTTTTTCTTTTTTTTGATTCTTTTTCCTGTTAGCCCTCTGATCTATCTTCTGGCATTTCTGAAATGTTGTGCGAGTCAATATTTCTGTCCATCAGATTAAAATGTCTATCAAGATGTCTCTTGATCACACCAGACCTTTGAGTAGCGGCAGTTATGTACATATACACACATCCCAGGTTCACCTTTGTGCCACAAAGACCACTGAGATTCCTCTTGCCTTTTATCAACAGAGCTTATATTTTAGGCCACTCTCTTCTGTAAACACTTTAAGCACTAAACTGAGTGCTTTATCCAGAACTGCTGATTTTTCAGATTCATTTGATTGCAGCACTGTACTACCTGGTGCCGTTTGTGAATGTGCATGTTGCTCCTCAAGCGCATAAACAGAGTCAGTCTCCTGAAGCCTCTGTTCACAAATTGACGTGTTACACACTGGGGTAATGGATTCTTGTGTCTCGTTTCCTTATGTATTCCTATATGTATTTCCTTATGTATTCCTATATGTATTTCCTTATGTATTCCTATATGTATTACGGCAGTTCTGAACAGGGAAAAGTAGCCAAAATTGGAAACTTGAGGACCAAGCTTCTTCTCAATTTTGACTGGTTTGCTACTAGAATTAGGAAATTCCTTTGCTCATTCTGATTTCAATTTACTCCAGTAATGGCATAGTTTGGATGGAAAAAATCAAATCATAATTAGCAAGTTTACCAATCAGTGCAGCACACTGTTTGCAATTCTAACATTGCTGCTGCCATGTTCAACATTCTGGACAGAACCTATAATGGGAAGAAAGTTCCCTGTTTCACCGGGCAGACTATGAACTCCCCTTCCACTATAATGCAGTGATTCAGCGATTATTTTTGTCTCCTGTGTCTGTAGTACCTTGGCAGCACTTTTAACACTGGCAGTCAGCCTGAATCCAGGAGCTCTGATTAAGCAGCTCTGGCTTAGTGTCTTCAGAAGACATGCTTGAGCCCCAGAGATTTCTATTTTATGTAGTTGAAATCTAGATGACTCTCTGATAGTTTGCAATTATTTTAAATAAATCTTTTCTAGTCTGGGAGAAGAGTAGTTTACTCGGCCTGGAACTCCTGCCGAACTGCAGCACAATGTTACTAAGAGGAAAAGTGCACTTCTGTTTACAGTATGCAAAACATTGTTGTGTTTGGGGGTTTTTCTTATCTGAATTTAGAGGGAGACCTTTCATCTTATTTCTATATCTAAACATGCTTCTGTGTCTTTACCGGTCAACTAAAAATACTATGAATGCTGGAGAATGTTAAAATAAATGCACAGCTCCCATTAAATTTGTACTGAAGCTTGTCTTATTATAGTGATTCTTTCTTTACTAAATGACAATGTTTCTGTAAAACAGTATTTGTGGTGGGCATTTCTGTGGGTGAATTGAGAGGAAGTATATGCTCAGGAGCTTATCTGCTGAAATCATGTATAACAGCCTGATACAAGCTTTTCTAGAGCTTGGCAAAGCAACTAGATCATAGCTGCTGCAGTGATGTCAACCTAATATGTCCTACAGAGAACTTGAGGTGACTACTTTGGAGTGCCTTTTACTGTAGCCTTTTCCTTAGAGGTGCCAACCTAGGATGAAAGACTTGCAGGAGAAGAGGTCAGAGAAAATAGCAATCTGACCACCAAGCCTTATTATAGGTACTGGAGGATATTCACTGCCCACTGGAGCAGTAAGGATTGGTGCTGTCTCTAAGGGTTTTCCTTTACTAGTACTAGTGCCTGGCACTGATCACACATCAAGAGCCACTGAGGTGATAGTCCAAATTCTCTTTTTTTTTTTTGTGTAGAGCTTGATGTAAAGCAAGTTGCCTCTATTTAAAGTCATAATGAACATCAACACTAATATTTCTGCATAATGAATAGCCTTCAAGAGTGCAAATTACATTTTTTTTCTGCCTATATATTTAGGTCTGTACACTAAAAGAAATACAAAAGTTAATTTCCCTCAGAACTGGGGATACTTATTCCTGAATGTTTACCTACAAGGAGATTTTATCCATGCATCTGTATTCAATATTTAATGTTAGGGATTTACAGAAATAGATGTTATAAATATTTTCAAGGGATCTCATTTTACTGATAAAGTATATAGGATAAAGCTGCAAAGGGTGTGTGTGGGAATATGAGCAAGAGCATTTGCCAGGCTGATGAACTCATTTTCAATTGGTTTGATTCCTTCCATTTGATACAAAAATGGTGTGAAGTAGAAGAGAACCAGGTCCATATAGGCAAACCAAATACATTCTTCATGTTATTCTGTGGGTCAAAGGAATAACTTATTCCGAGCAGAGAGAATGCTTTAAAGTTCTATGAAGTCCTACACTAAGAATTGAAAGCATTTTTGTTCATCTATCCTACTTCTGTTTGAGAGCTGATTTTGGCTTCATGTGCTTGTAACTGAAATTTGATGTTGTTCATATTAAAATATCATTGATATGCAAAATGGCACACACTGACTGTTTGATTTGCAAATGGCTGCTTTAAAATGGATGATCTTGAATATTAATGAAGCAGGCTTTCAAACAAATTGCCATTTTCTTTCCCTTCTCCTGTCCCCTTTTTTGATGTAGGTGCAAAGGGTTTGACAGTATGGAAATTATGAAAATAAGCAAACTCATTTCATCAAGTGCACCATTAATTATTCATTAACTATTTGAAAGGCAACATCTCATCTCTCCATATATATAGTGTCATTCACATCTACTCTGTATAGTGTTCTCTGGCTTGATTTCAGTAGGTGTTTGTTATTCAGTTTTATAGTAACTTTGTCAAAAGACTGTGGCTTCCTTAATCAGATTCTTTTGAACTGATAGGACCATTAGTGCTCCTGTTCTAAGTACATGGGCGTATCAAGTGATGTTTTATGTGCAGTGCATACTTTTGTCAAAGCATCATACAACATCGTTTTACAGCGAACTGAAAGTTGCCTTCATCCTTAAGATAAGCATTCAGTTCATCCTCTGCATCCTGCTCTGTAGACCAGATTTGTTTAACTCTGTAGTGATTTCTATTCTCAGAAATCTATACTCCAAGTCCTGATGAAGAGGTTAGAAATTGTATTGTAATGAACTTCTTCAAAAAAGGCCAAGTTCTGTCATGAAATGAAGTAAAAGGTAAGTATGAACTAGGTCTTGTTTAAAATCAAATTATAAAATAGTCCTGAAGGTTATCCTGTCTTTAGTAACTTTAAGGAATAAAGATAAAAAGAGTTAGCACAGTAAACTGCCTTCAAATCCCAGATGAATTTTGCGTAGATCATCCTAAGCAGAACCAATGTTGCTTTGACTATAAACCTAGGTCATAAAATCACAGATCCAATATCTAGTCATAGGTCTAACATATAATGTTAGGGTGTCATTCAGAGAAGCTTTGTGAGCTGATTGGCTTTCCTTGGAGACTAGAAACATTATGGACTCACACATAAACATGTAAGACCTATGGAAGTGGGTTTTCTGATTCTCACTAGACTCTGAATGACATTATTTTGATCTTGTTTCATGCAAATAAAAAGCTTTTCACAAATAAGTTCTGAGTGTCATGTAATTAGATGCATTTGGAAATCAATAGTGTCTGAATAAGTGATGTTGAAAAATTATTAGCAACCGCCTAATCAGCTACACAATAGAGATCACATACACTGCCCTAATAAGAAGGAGAGAGGCCATTATCAGCAAAAGTCATGCAGCTTCAGAGAGAGCAACAGATGCCCAAAGACAAGGTTGATAATAAAATCAGAAGCATCCCTGTCTATGTAATTTATTCAGTTTACTATGCTCTTTATCCAATTTGCCATATGCTATGGGATATAAATTCTGAGTATGTGTTGAGTTTTTTTTCCTCTTATGCTGATAATTACACAAAAATACTGAAAAATTCACTAGGAGAATGCTAAGGACCAGGTGAAAGGACCTGTAAAAACAAAAGCATTGCAAAGAAATTCCTCCTTTGATTATGGTATGGCCATCAAACCTGAGTTTGGCAACTTGTGGTAATCGTATGTTGTGTGGACTATGCTGGACTAATAATTTGCCAATGAACTGCACTGTCTAGACCTTGATATCGGCAAAAGGGAAAAGGATGGGATCTGAAACCATGGGGTTTTGTTTTCCCTGGTGAAAGCTCCTGGAGGAAGGGAGAGAGAAAGGATGAAACACTGTTTTTTCCTAGGCTTGGCTTTTTGTAGGGTTTGCCTCTGTGTGAAAGTATATAGTGGTCCTAGTCTTGTAGAGCGCTAATTCTATAGGTGGCTGTGTTGGGAAGATGGCAGAGCTCTAAAGCATTGTTTGTGGCCATTAATGTACGTTCTTGTCAGAGGGAGTCTGAAGTCACAGAAGTAGCAGAAGATTTTGGTGCTATCTTGTTCTCTGCAGTTAACCTGCGCTCACTAAACCTCTGCAGCTCTATACTGCTATCCAGATGTACCTCACTGCAGTACCAGGAACATTTTTCTCCTGTGTAAATAAATGAAATATTTCTAGATTATATTTATAATTCTCCAAATGTCAAATTGTTGGAGACAACAGAGTTAATCTGTGGCTTATTTCCTGACAAGACCTGCCTGTCATGGCTTTTTTTTTGGGTACGGGAGAATACCGTCAGGCATGGCAGGGAGCTAGAAGCTAATAATGAAACATGTTTATTTTCAAAGAACAACAGAACACTCACCTAAAGGCAGACAATCTGAGAATGTGTTCAGAATGCATAATTTAGCAAATTTTAAGGAATAAGAAACAAAGCCTGCAGTTAAATTAAATAGCCAATTAAGCTATCTGCTTGGCTGCAAAATATCTTCTTGACAGACAATTAGTTCTGGGCAAGTCAAACATTTCAGCTATGAATTCATATGGGGCACTTAGAGAAACTAATCTATATTAGTTGTGAGGAAGTGGTAAACTGGAAAGCTGCAGAATTAATATGGAACTTTAGAGTATGTGGACTTCCCTACAGTCTTG